ATACTCTCAGTAGAGAGTAAAGGCTTTCAGGTACCCAGATGATAACGATGTTTGAGATGGAAGGGAGTTTTATCTTTGGTTGTAATTCCATCCAGCAAACTCTGTGTGTGTGTGTGTGTGTGTGTGTGTGTGTGTGTGTGTGTGTTGTGTGAGAGAGAGAGAGATTGAATGCCTAGCACAGTAGGCACGTAATAAAAGTTAGTATTAGTTTTCCCGTTTGTCTAAAACAGCCCTACTCTCAAGGAGTTTACATTCAACCGAGTTAAATACACCGTATATATGGTATAGAATGTAGGCTCCTTGAAACAGGGACTGTTCCATTTTTGTCTTGGTACCAACAGTCTAGCACATTGCCTAGCACATAATAATAGCTTAATTGTTTTGTTTTTGGTTTTTTGATTGATTGGTGAGAAGATTAGGGTTGATTGGATTTTAGAAATGATCCCAAATTGGCCTGCTGCTGCAAAAGGCTCTTTAACTAGAATTCTTCTAATGATATTATGTGGCTGCAAATAAGAAGTATTAAAATTATGATTAACCTAAAGGACAATGAAAAGGACACATAGTGGAGAACAGCTAGGTGGCACAGTGGATAGCCTGGTGAGAAGAGGCAGCATCTGCCTTATTTGACAAATGGATCTTTTTCTTATTTTTTTGTTTTAAGGGGAAAAAATTTGCTTGTATTACTAGAAGGTCCCAAAAGACTTTGGTGATGCTTCTTGCCAACTCTCCTGATGCTGTCAAAGGAAGAGTTTCAATCTATATTGTGTATAAATCGAGTCAGCAAAAACCTGAATTTTTGATTTTTTATTACAGAAGGATAAATTTCATTTCATCATGAATTTTTCCTCAACTAAATGTTCTGTAATTTTTTAAAAGATATCACTTACCCACTTCTAACTCTGTGACCAAATACAACCATGTAAGTTTTTGGCTTTCTATCCCCCAGTTTCACTGACCTTGTAGCGAAATATCTTTTAATCTTCTGTATAGTTTTACCTCTTGATATGTATGTTTAATAGATATATCACAAGTTGTCTACTGAAGTCAAGCCCTGAAGTCAAGAGGACCTGAGTTCAAACCCAGCCTCAGACCAAACACTTGACACGTAGTAGCTGTATGACCCTGGGCAAGTCACTTAACCCCAATTGCCTAAAAATTTTTTAAAAAATTTAAAAAAAAAGGACACAGTGGGCATAACGAGGATTGGCTCTACAGCTTTGATGTCTGGGAGTCTTAAGACATTATGGAGAAGAAGGGTTGGTGTTAAAAATGGAAGGAATAATCAGTCCAACAGAATTATGCTTAGTCAAGGACACCAGGAATAGAGTTGAAGGAAGCATGTCGAACCAAGATATATTCTTCCTGTCAGTGAGTCAAAAAACATTTATTAAGATACTACTATGTTGGGGCAGCTAGGTGGTGCAGTGGATAGAGCACTGGCCCTGAAGTCAGGAGGACCTGAGTTCAAATCTGGTCTCAGACCAAACACTTGACACTTACTAGGTGTGAGACCCTGGGCAAGTCACTTAACCCCAACTGCCTAAAAAAAAAAAAGATCCTACTATGTGCCAGGCACTATGCTAAGAGTACTGGGGACACAAAGAAAGGCAAAAGAAGACAGTCCCTGTCCTCAATTAATTCACAAACTAATAGGGAAGAAAGCATACAAATAATTGTGTACAGATAAGCTATAGACAATACAGGATAAATAGGAAATACTAAAATCAGCAGAGAGAAATTACTAGAATTAATAAGGATTAGAAAAGCCTCTCTGTAAGAAAGTGAGATTTTTGGTGGAGACTTGAAGGAAGCCAGAGAAGCCTGGAGGTGGAGATGAGAAAGGAAAATATTCCATGCATGAGGAACAGCCAGTGAAAATGCCCAATAGCCCTCACCCAATAGCTCCCAGGAAAAGGCTTCTAGAAACCTTAGACAGGGTTTATACCTGCCCAATCACTCCCCTGGAGAATTTGGAAGGTTTTGGGAGGATGCAGTTGGGAGACTAACTTATCTTAAGTGACAGCCTTAGGTATTTCAAAGTGAGGAAAAGACCCTGTGTCCCCTAAAACTCCCTTCCCATCTGTCAGAGTTTTTTTTTTAATGGAGATCAGGCTTTTTCATTCTATAGAGATAAAAGGCTTAAAAATGCAAATAGATGGTATGCTTATCAAATTTGCAGATGAAACAAAGCTGGAAGGGATAGCTAAGGCTTGGGAAGACAGAGTTCAGATTCAAAAAGATTTTGACAGGCTAGAGCATTAGGCTGAATCTAATCAGATGAAATTCAATAGGAATAAGTGTAAAGCCTTACAATTAGGTTCAAAAAATCTATTTCACAAGTATAAGATGGGAAGGGTGAGTATAGTTAGATGACTATTTTTGTCTGAAAAAAATTGGAGGGCTGGTTCCAATGATTGCCAGCTCCCTACAAGTCAAGGATGAGATGTGTCAGCCAAGAAAGCCAATGTCAGTTTAGGCTGCATTGAGAAGCAAAGCACTCAAGAATAAGAAGGTGATGACCTCAGCAGATCACATTCAGAATATTTTATTCAATTCTGGGTGCTACATTTTAGGAAGGATTTTAATAGCCCAGAGGATGATCAGGATAACAAGATGGCTTCAAGATCACATCTTCTGAGTATCAATTGAAAAGAAACTAGGAATGTTTAACCTTGAGAAATAGACATTATAGCTGTGTTCAAGTATTATGGAATTGAGGCTGTTATGTAGAAGAGAGACCAGATTTATCCCCTTTGTCCACAGGGGGCAGAACCAGGAGCTAGTAGAAGCTCCAAAGAGGCAATGTTGGGGAAAAACTTCCTAATAATTAGAGCTCTCCAAAATGAGGATGGAGATGCTGCCTTAAGAGGTAGTGAGTCCCCTTTCACTTGAGATCTTTAAGCAAAAATTGGATGACTACTTTTTAGGCTTGTTCTAAAAGATACTGTTATTCAGGTATGGGTTGAACTGGATGGCCACTAATTTCCCACCCAACTCTTGAGATTCTGTGATGTAGGATGTACATATGTATGTAACCAGCAAAAAGAGATAAGCTAGGCTTGTGGCTGATGTGTTTTACAACAGATGGTGGTTGGTTGATTTCAATACTAAAAGAACAAGAAGTAACCCCCATTCACATTGGGGTCTTTCCTACCTTCTAGAGAAGATGTTTGGAAAATATGGACAAGAATATTACAGCATGTTTGGAATATTACAGAATATTACAAAATTATAATATTACAAGAATATTACAGCAATAGTAGCATGAAAGTATTATGTGTCAGTGGAGGGATTATCCTTACCATTGAAATAATAACTCCAAGAAAGTTGTTAAATATCATAATATTCTCCAGCTACAAAATTCTCTGGGCACATTTGATTTTTGTGATGCTCCCCTGAGTAGGTAGTACATTAGATTGTGAGCTCCTTCAGGGCAGAGACTCTCTTTTGCCTCTTTTTGTATCCCAACCACTTAACACAGTTCCCGGTACATAGTAGGTGCTTAGTAAATATTTCCTGACTGACCAGTGCATGTAGTATTATTCTCATTTTATGACTAAGGAAACTGAGACCTTGAGTAGCAGTCCTTCCATAGATTCATGCAGTGAGTGGCAGAGCCAGGACTTCTCTCAGGGTCTTCCAGTTCTATTTCTTTTTACTCTGAAAAAAAAAAGTCTATGAGGGGGATCCCAGATATGCAAATTGGCACTGGGTTAAGCAAAGCTAAGGCTAGGAAATGGATAAGCTATGCTCAGTGGGTGTGCCCTAATTTGTACACTTGTGAACTTTCAAGCTCAGTCCAAGGTTCATTTCTTTCTCATATCATCTAGCACAAGGGCGTGTCAGGATTTATGCTTGGAGAGTTATTGAGTTTTCTGGTTACTCTTGTCTTAAATTATATCTCTGTCATACCATATAAAGTAGAAGAAGAAATTAAACATCTCTCTTAATAATAGAAAGAGCACTAGTTGACTGTGGGGACCTGGATTCTAGCTTCAGTTCATCCACTAGCTAGTTGTGTGACTTGGCAAATTATATTACCTCTCCAGATCTGTCAGCCTTATCTGTAAAATGACTGTGTTGGATGAGATCCACCTACTTTTCAGAAACTGGTTTCCTTCGAAACTCAGTTCAAGTGCCATTTTTTATTTGAAGCCCATCCTGATTTTCCCCAGCTACTAGTTTTCCTCCTCTTGTCCCATCCCCACCAGTTACCTCTCATAGATTTTGTATATATTCTACACATTCTTACATGGATTTGTGGTCTCCCCTCAGGTAAAGTAAGCTCTTTTATGGCACGGAAATTTTTATCTTTCCCTTTGGATCCCCAGTGCCTAGCATGGTAAATGCATATTTGTTCACTGATGTTAGATTTTCTCGAGAGGCAGTGTGGTATAATGGAGCTCTGGGTTTAGACTCTAGAGAGACCCAAATTCTGTTTCTGACACCTGCTAGTTGGGTAAACCTGGGCAAGTCACATCTCTGAACCTTGGAATCCTCATCCTCATTGTTTAGAAGGAAAGATAAACAATGCCTTCACTACCTACCTCACAGGGTTCATCATGAGGATCAAAGGACATAACAGTGTCTATAATATGCTCTGCAAACCTTAAAATGGGCATCTAGGTGGCACAGTGGTTAGAGCTCCTGGCTTGGAGTCAGGAAGGCCTGAGTTCAAATTCAGCCTCAGATACTTACTAGCTGTGTGACCCTGGGTAAGTCACTTAGCCTTGTTTACCTCTGTTTCCTCATCTATAAGATGAGCTAGAGAAGGAAATGGGAAACCACTCTCAGATCTTTGCCAGGAAAACCCCAAATGGGGTCATGAAGAGATGGACACAATTGAACAACAACAAAAATCTTGAAGTGGCATATAAATTTTATCATTGTTATTATTATTGTTGTTAGCATGTAATCCCATGAGACTTTTGTGGAGCTTTTAATTTTGCATCTACTATCACATGAGCTATAGTGGTACCTATGGATTTCTTTTTCAGGGTTGGCCGGAGGCCAGTGCTGCTCTTTTCCATCATATTCATTCTGATCTTTGGACTGACTGTGGCGCTTTCAGTGAATGTGACAATGTTCAGCACACTCAGGTTTTTTGAAGGATTTTGCCTGGCTGGAATAATCCTTACCTTGTATGCACTGAGTAAGTACCAACCTTCTGAACCTATACTGAAAATTAAATGAGATGTCCTGAGGAAGTAGTCTGGGCAAAAGGGTTTTGTGAGCAATGAGCATGTGTGCTCTTGTCTTAGAAAGGAGCTGCTTTGGGAGGTCCAAATGGATTATCCTGCCTGTAACTATGGATTAGTGAGGAACCTGCGACCTCTAGGCCACATGTGGCCCTCTAGGTCCTCGAGTATGGCCCTTTGACTGAATCCAAACTTCATAGAACAAATCCCCTTAATAAAAGGATTTGTTCTGTAAAACTTGGACTCAGTCAAAAAGCCACACCCAAGGACCTAGAAGGCCACATGTGGCCCTGAGGCTGCAGGTTCCCTACCCCTGGTTAAGTCTTCTAATAGCTGTTTCTTCTACTGTAACAGAGGCCTCAGAAAATAAAACAAATGGGGATGCTGTACTATTATCTGCCAGATTTGGGATGGCCCATGCAACCAAAACACACTGGGTTTGGGGTTGCAGACTGAATTTTCCTTATTGTCTTTGTGCACAGTATTAAAATCATTGGATAAATGTATGCTTCTGGACTTGGATTGTTAGAAATCATGTGCAGGATTGTATGGTCACGTGGCTGGGACTTCACTTTTGATTTATTTTTGACAGCTCTCCTCATTGAGGCTGCTTAATATTCTGCATTTCCACTTACTCATGTGTCCATGTGAGTTTCTGGAATTGTTTGGAGATGAGTTATAGGCTGTGGCACAACAAAGAATTAGAAGACAGAACAGCAAGTTTAATTATTTCTTCTTCCATGTGGTTTTTTCCCCCTAAAAAAAAGTTTTCCTCACTTCTCTAAATGTCTATTGATTATAATAACTTTTGTTGCAAGTGTAGATCAGAATTCCCCCAAAATCTCATTCATCTGCATCTTACTCTTGCTTGCTTGCTTGATAATTTTGCTTAAGGTGTGTGTGGGGGATGGGGAAGAGGTTCTCTGAGAAGCGAATAGCAAATAAAAGTTTATTTGAACTATTCCTCAGAGAGATAGAAGAAGAGTATAACCATCTTCAGGCCTTTACTCCAAAAATTGTGGAGAAAATAAGTTATCACATCAGAATCAAGTCAGAGAAAAGAGAATTATATGACATAGGTACATTTGGAGGGGAAAATAACAATGTATACTTCAATGAGCCCTGAATTCATCCTTGTATTCCAGTTTAGAATAACAACAAATTCTCCTAATGATGATCTTAAGACATCAAAAATCACTAAGCTGTATTCACTAGACTCTTTTTAAGAAGGCAGGGAAAGTATGCAATCCATGTTAGGAAGTTTTCCAGTCAATGGTTTATGAGTCTATCAAAAATAGTTTATTCTTTTTTAAAGTTTTGGTACCTGAAAAGATGAACTTTTTTTTATAGAATTTTCACATCTGTTGTTTTAGAGGCAGCTGGGTGGTATTATGCTGGACTTCAAGTCAGGGAAACTCAAGTTTGCCTCTGGCCTCAGACACTTACTATTTCATCTTGGGCAAGTTACTTCACTTATGTGTGCCTAAGTATTTTCATCTGCAAAATGAAGATAAGAATAGTACCTACTCCCCAGGGCTGCAGTGGTTAAAATGAGATAATATATGTAAATAGTGCTTTGTAAAGCTTAAAGGGCTATATAAATGTTAGCAATTACTGTCATTTTGTATTGTGGACATATCAAAGAACAGGTGGTATTTGATTTATCCTTCAATAATTATCTCCTATCTATCTTTCTATTTGTAAGTATGTCAGAGACTATATGGCAGTCCTATTTCTGTAAATACATGGCAGCCCTCTGACATTCCCTCTCAGGCAGGGCAGCCAAACTTATTTGTTCAAGAAGTCACTCAGTGCTCTTCCTGGGATATTCCATCTCCCTCTTCACAGACTCCAAGTAAAAACTAGCAAAAGCATGGTGATTTCTATTTTGTCCAGATATTGTCAAGACAGGAAGGAGGATGGCATTTTTCCTTTGCTCAACCATCTGAGGGATATTTGACTAGAGAAGATTAGAGCTCTGTATGAATGCCATTACAAGGACTATTGCATGAAAATTTCAGTATAATAAAAGATTTCCAACCACTCCAACCACCCCCTCCCACCCCAATCAGTGATTTCAAGGACTACAGTATTCAAAGCAACCAAGTTCTAATAAAACAGAAGAGTTTGGCTAATCCCTTGGTGTTTATGGGCATGTGATTTGACCACTAAACATGGTGGATAGATGGGAGAGGAAAGGAAATGAAGTTATGGGACAGTGTGTCAAGGCAGAATATAGGGTAGGACTTGTAGCAGAATAAATAGCCATTTAGAAAGAGAGGTTGACAGTAGTTATTGTGTTAGTAGGACATAAGGGAGGCCCTTCTTACTAGAGCACAGCAGTATGCTTATGGTTTCTGGAAGACAGGATGTATTCGATTTGTCTTTTGGACAAGAGGAATATTGCCTGGGTTCTTATTTATCATTTAGGAATTGTTTTTCTTTTTGCTTAAGGAAAATTTATTCAATGCCTATTTCAAAGAATTGAAATCTTACCTAAAGATCTAGGAAAGTAAAAAAAAAATTTTTTTTAGATTTTTTTTTTTTCTTTTAACCATCAATCTAGCTCAGATTTTTCTTTTCAACTGAGGGGTTCTTATCTCACTTAATGTATCTATTGGAATGTCCCATACTTTCTCAGGACAGAGTTAGGTTTTATTTTTATTTTACTCTCACAGGTATGCCACTGTGACTAAGGCAAATGCAGGTTGGCCTAGGGTTAATGTGTTCTCATCAAATTATCCTCCCTTTCCTTCCCAAATGTGGACCCACTTCTTTCTTATCTGTGACCACATTGTCCCTTTTTATCTAGCCCCTGGGATGATACAGGGCAGGCCTTTCATGGTGAGCCTTCCATGAGCAAGTGGAAATAGAGGAAAGAAAGAACTCACCACACTAGGCACTAAATAGGGGGGGAAAAAAGTTCAAATAAGACACGTCTTGCTCCCAACGAAACTTACATTCTCCTCTCTCCTGCCCTTGCTTCTGACATCCATGGACCATATTGCTGCATAGAATCCCCACCTAAAGGGATTCCTTCTTTTCTTATCCAAGGGAAGAGGAAGAAGAAAGGAGAGGGCAAACCCCCAACAGCCACTCCCCTGCCTTGACTATTTCCCTACTACCTGTAGCACTGATCTCATAGGAAACATCCTTAGCCCTGGCTCCAGTTCCTGTTTACCATCAACTCACTGTGCGTGCCCCTATCTTTATTCCTTCCTGTCCCGTCTCCCATAAAAAAACCCTCTGGAGATTCATGAGTTTGAATATTCCTCTGAAATGTAGATTGCATATTTCTTTGATCCCACCATTATGTTTCCCTGTAAGGTACAAAACAAGAGAAAAAAGAGGGGGAGGACATAGAAGGGAACTTTTTATAGCTCTATTTTCCATTGTTCCTTGGATTTCTCACAGTAAAATCCCATAGTAGGTTCCCCAAGTGTTGTATGCTCACTTCAAAGAATGAGAGAAGCTGACTTGATGTTTCCTTTCACAGTGGACCAGAAAGGAAGGAAATGGTGTTCAGAAGCAAGTTTCTGTCAGTAGAAAGGGTAGTAGGCATGTAAATACTTGGGGTCCGTAGAGGGAGATGGTCTGAATGGAGAAATTTACACCACCAGGAGACCACAGGGCTAAGTTCATGCAAATGAACATTTTCATCAGTGATTTAGATAAAAACATAGATAGAATGTTAATAACATTTGTAGATAGCCACAGAGCTTGGAGGGATACCAACATAACCAGATAACAGGATCTATATGCAAAAAGATATCAACTGGATACAAAGTTAGGCTAAATCTGAAGATGGAGCTTAATAGGGATAAATGTTAATCTTATACTTGGGTTCAAAAAGCCAACTTTTTGTTGTTGTTGCTGTTTAACAAATGCCACAGGAGAAGGGTCCATGATTACCAGTAACATCAAAGAGTACTTCGTACCCTCCTTTCTTTTTTTATTCAGTTGTGTTGGGGCCAGCATTGCAATAAACAAGCTAAAACTACTTTATGTTGACTCATTTTCAGTAACTGACATTTACAGGAATATACTAGAAATGGCACTAAAAGGTTTAAGAAAAGAGTTACGGTAAACTTGTATGCACATCATACCTAAAAGTAACATTTTAAATTAAAAAAAAAGAGAGAGAAAAACTTTCTGGAAGTGTCATGCCAGTATCACGGAACAGCACTAAAACTGTATGTGTCGAATCCTACATTGTTGGTTTTGTGTCTTTTTTCTCCAAACAATTGTAAAAGATATAAATGCTGTACAATTGTATCTTAACAGTTTAAAAGCAAGATAATGTTGCCCTGTGTGAGAAATGTTCTCTAAGTAAATTATAATTCTATATAAGGCCTGCCATACAGCCTCTATGGTTTTGTTTATATTTTAGAATAGTTTTTATGTCCTTTTTTGGCCCCTTATTAAAAAGCTTTTTTTTTTTGTAGTGTCTCCCTGACCCCATCCTGCTTTTAAAAACATTCTTTCCCCAAAAGTGAAAATTTTAAATTGGTCTACAGTTTTCAGTACTAGAATGATTCTAATTCGATAACTGCAGTCTTCCTTACCACAGAGGAAATGGTAAATAACCCACAACCTGATACTGGGTTTGTTGGGAGGTTGCTTCCTCCTCTCCTCACCAAGGAAAAAAAAAGTGAAATCAGTTTTGCAGTTTGAAACAGCGAAGACGTAAAGTTTTAAAACTATAGCACCATGAAATTTCCGTTGTTTGTGTTGACTCTGCCGTAAGTCAAATACAAAGTCAACAGATTTTTTTCTGGATAAAAGAGTGAATTTCTTTAGTTTAGGAGATATCTCTGCCCTTCAAAAGGCCAACTTTACAAATACAAAATAGGAGAGACATGACCAGTCAGCATTTCACTTGGAAAAAAAAAAGATCTGAGGTTGTTTTTAAAAAACAACAACAACAAAAACACTATGTTAATATAAGTCAGCA